TTCATTATTCCAATTTGGCACATACGATTATGCCATGATTGTGATTATACTACATAGCATATAAATAGTTATACAACATGGCATGTCATGTGTCATACGCGATGGTTATATCACATGGCATATTTATAAATACATATTTCTTATTTTCCTTTGCAAAAAAAGTAAAGATAAGGGTAATAGAATATGATATTTTGATTTAACCTTTATCACCTGTACCAAAATCAAGGTAAGTGTTGTTGTTGTTGAATTAATTAATTAATAACCTTATGAAATGTGAGTTAGTCAGAAAGATAAATTATATAAATTAATTCAAGCTTTTGAAGTGCAACAAAATAAACATTTGGGCTTGGTGTGGTAATAGGGCCCCGTCAAACATTTTTTGGAACAAATTCATATATCCAGAAATCGATAAGGACAATGATCTCTAACCTGATTAGATATAATTATCTACTAGCGGGGCCCGTGCAATACATGGGATGGGGTATCCTCATTGTCTCTCGCCTCTGTAAGTCAAGACATTCTACTCCATCTTTGGCCTGATCCCCAGTGGCGTGGTGGGTTTGGGGCAAGCCAGTCATTCCTGTCGTGGATGAGAAATCTCAAAAATTTTCCCACCCTGAGGTAACCACCTAAAAAAAATATAATTTATGGATATTTTACAAATAGGATTATAGAAATTTGGGGGTATTTTAGGAATTGGATTATGACAATTTGGGGGTATTTTATAAATAAAATTATGGGATCCTAAGATTATAAAAATATGAGAAAAACGTAGATATATTTTAAAAATCAATATTAAATATACAGATATTTTATTAATTTACCTTTGGGTTGGGGGAATTATAGAAAACCCCATTCCTAATTTAGGGAAAAATATTTTTCTTGTCCCCACCCCCCCGCATCTTTTTATGGGGAAGGAGAGCATCTCATTGTTTATTTAAAAGTGGCATGGAATTAAAAAAAATAAAAATTCAAAAAAAAAAGAAAATAAGTCGGGAGAAGAGATTTTAGGAGTTGATTGGGGAGTAGGGTAACATGATAAGTTTCTAATGACTTAAAGGAGATACCTTAGGAGAGAGATTCGAGAAATATTTTTAGTTAGTTAGATTTAGAATGGTGACATGACTTAATGGGAGTGATGAAAAGGAGAGAGGAGAGAGAGTCAAGGAGAATGCGAGAATGACATGACCATCTTATTATATATATATATATATATATATATAGATAGATAGATAGATAGATGTTAATAATGTAAAACTTTACTTTTGATTATATAACTTTAATAAAAATGACTATAAATAGAAAATTATTTAAATCAAGTGTTTTTAACCAAAATTATCTTATATATTACTTATCAAATTTAACCCCCCCTGGGGGGGCAATAAAAACCTTTAGCAATAGGCACAGGTAGAGAGGAATAGAGAGGAAAAGGTTCTGTGGTGAATTGATGATTGCAGTTGTAATATGAAATTAAGAAAAAAAAAAAAAGCAGTCATGAAGTCATGGCTTGTGTCACTCGGATTCATTGCTCCAACTGCTGTATGTAACATGTAACCAATTATGAGTGAACATGTTGATTTGTGATCGATTATGTAGCCAATTATACACAGAAGTATGAGCAGCATATGCAGGCTCGGTTTGAGTGGATGAAGATGAAGACATCAATCAAATTTTTTTATTTATGTGCAATTTAGTTCCAGTGTGGCGATTGGGCTTACGGAATACTAATCAGAACCCAAACGTTTGTCCCTGAGGCTCGGATTTATGGAAATTGTTGGTATTTTTTTAAGACTTTAAAACTTCGTTTAATGTGAGACTTCTATTTTCCGCTAAGACAACTGTAAACCGGACTGTAAATGGATCAAATCAATAGGATATTACCTAGATTTAAATTTGATTTGTTAATATTTAAACTGGAACCAAACCTTATCCACGAACATAGACCCATCATGGATCTGATTCGAATATTGAATATCAGAGAATATCACTCTGTTCTGTTGATCCGATATGTGAGACCCACTTGAGAAAAATGAGAATCAGTTCACCTTAAAGATGTGTTTGGTTTTCTAAAAAAAAAGTATTTGGTTTGAAGGAAAAAGTAGGAAAAGCCTTTACAAATTTTGTATAAATTTCTCTATCTTTTTCTTTCATTCTCCATCTTTTCCTTCAAATCAAACATAGCCTTAAATGCAATGATGCTTTTGTTGTATAATTTCAGTTTATTAAATAACTAGATTCTGAAATTACACACATTTCCAGGTGAAGCACTACCCTTACTCGGTTCCCCATGCTTGCCATGTACTGTACTGGGGCATATTCAAATCTGATCGAATTATTGAAAATTCCGACCCAGTTTCGATCTGAAATTCAAAGTATTGGACTCAGATCGGACTTTCATTTAATCTGAATCCACTTTATTATCTTCAAAATAAAGAATTAAAAAATTTTAAAAATTTAATTGCTCATTACCTATACACATATAATAAATTTATAAAAGTAAGTATTGAATCTTTTAATTATATGCTTTATATTATTACATATAATCAATTTTAATTGGACCTGGATTGTCTCCAATAGAGTCAAATCCGCATCTAATTTCTAATTGGATGGATCAGATCAAGTATTGGATTGGGAGTCGGACTTTGAGAATCCACCGAAAGCCCTATTTTAACTTGTTTGCTTTTAATAACATACCCTATGCTTTTTTAGTTGGACTTAAATATACCTTGTGGGCTGAACCCACTAAAACGTTAAGAAACGTCAACATGGGATGCATGGGATGGGACATTACCAGATTCACTTAAAATTTTAAAAACCCTATTTTGCCCTTCTATCTATCTGGTTGGGAAAAACCACCAATCTCACCCATTCGATCAAATGTCTGAATAGAGTCTAGATCTCCTCATGTTACTGGATTTCCTGATACCTCACATAAGTTGTTGGTTGACATCTGAATAGAGTCTAGCCATCTTTTTTCTTTTCAAGCCGGAAACTCTCATAAGCTGATGTGCTTTGGGAATGCATGTGACCAGGAGAGGGGGATTTTCTTAGCAGAGGCTGGTTGCTTAGAACTATGGAACCATCGGTGTTAATTCTTCTACATCTTCTAGTAATAACTGTTGTATTAGTGGTTTGTCAATGGTGGGTTTTGTAATTTTCATCAACGAAGTATTGAATCGATTCTGTGCAGCAAGAATAAGAAACGATACAATGGTCTTTTAAAGGAAAATGATTTCTTTTTCCTTTTTCAAAAATTCTGAGAATGGGATTGGCAAATCATCTCTCAAGCTCATCTACAGAAGCTTTGAACGAGAATCATAAAATTTTGAATTGATATTTACAGGGTCGGTATCTCAAAGTAGAAGATGACTCTGCTTCTCGTTTTAATGTTTCAACGAAGGTTAAAAGCGTCTTTTTATTCAAATAGTTTAAAAAAAAAACTAGAGGATTGTATATTTAAGTCTTTTGAAAAAACTCAGGGTATGTTTAAGTCTTTTACTCAAATTTTCATTTAGGAAGGATATATAAATAGAGCAAGAGAATAGCAGGCTTATTGTCCAACTATGAAGATAAGAGCTACCTATTAGCTATGATCTGATTTTATTGGGTCAGACCAAACAAGTTAGATGTCAAGGTTCAAAGTATTGATATGTTTGACATTCAAAAGTTGGAACATTGAACCTCTACATCAGCCCGCATATTTATTAAGAAATTGAAACTTGGTTTGGGAAGGGTTTTTTATAGAAGTCTGCCTTGCAATCAAGTCTTGGTTTATCAATGCAAATTTGTGAGAAATATGTGTTACCACATTATACATGACTGTTATTTCAACTAGAAAAATGCATGTATATGACTATATGAGAAACATCAAATTTAACGCTTTTGAGTGGAGAGAGCAATTTGTATTGATTAACTAACCCGGAGCATTTTTAAAACATTTCAGTTAAATTAATCACTTTCTCACAAATTTGTATTGATCAACCCAAAACAAGGTGACAAATCAACCACTGTACCAAAACATCTCATAAATTTACCCTAAGTAATATGTCCTAAACCTGTTCCATTGGCAAGGCTACACAATAAATCATAACTATCCATCGTAAAAGGTGGTAGAATTTTCGTTTTATAATTAGCAAACAAATTTGCAAACGATATTTTGTCTTTTATTATAATTTGCAAACAAATTTAGTAATACGTGCAGAGTGGGATAGAAATATAGAGTAATTGAAAAGTGGGGAGAGTTGTGTAGTAAAGATTCATAAATAATCGGATATAGAAAACCATTGTGAACAATAGCACTAAATTTGCTATTTACTTTAAGGGGGCGTTCTTTTTTCTGGATTTTGAGAAGGGGGAAAGTTGGTCAATGGGATTTTGATTTTCATTGATCAAGAATCCCATGTTCTTTATTCAGATTTATGTGGGGACTAGGGAAAGCTTATTTTCTTGGGTATCATTTACCCGATACATCTCTTAGGTGAGTAAGTAACTTTCCCACCTTGGGGGAAAGTTGTCAATATTTGAATGAGACAAAAATGCCCCTTGTAATAATGGATGCTTATGACTAAAATGGTCATTGCCTTATTTACATGGGAAAAAAAGAACATGGGTAAATGCACTTACCCAGGTAAGTCTTTCCTGGGAAACACTTGGGTAAATGCATTTACCCGGATAAGTAACCTGAAAAACGAACAGTGCCTAAGAATTTTAACATTTTTGCCACAAAGTTAAAAAGGGTTAGTTTTGTACATTTGAGAAACTACTTACATATGCCCCTCAATTTTTAAATACAACTTATATGTAATTTGTTGACTTTTTCCAAGATTAAGTCTAACAGATAAAATATAAAAGATAAATGTATCCCTGATTATTCATTAAAATTTCAAAATATGCCGCATTGTTTTAAAATTTTCATTCTGATAATTTAGAGGGATTTAGAGCCAATCCTTTGCAAGGCTGCAACTCAAACGCACCAGATACACACACATATACAATGCCCAAATAGAATCAAATTTTATCATAAAATCAAATCATCAAACTGAGAATCAAACAAATACATGACAACCGCATAGCTACTCAAAGCGATTTCATTAGTCCAAGATTCAAAGCCACCGTCTCTAAAATGGAATCCCACATTAGGACCAAGGGAATTAAAACCGGTGATACAAGACGAAGCCACCAATTGAGTCTACAAATTCAAAATGCCAACAATTAGGTTTCCAAACCTGAGGCAGAAATTGAGTTATACTAATAATCACAGTCCTCTTGGTTAAGAGAAATTTGCAGAAGAGCAGCATTTTCTCTATCAACAACTAACAAGGAACAAGTAGGCCGAATATACACCACATCAGAATCATTAGAGAACTTTGCATCCCATCTCTGTACCCTGCAATATTTGATTTGCCTCCTGCAATAGTTGTCACACCTGAAGTGTCACCAAACTCAATTAAGAGAATAAAAATCTGAAATAAATTAGTCATTGATTTTCCTTTCACAGTGATCCACCGACTTGTTCAGTTGCTACACAGACCTGCTTCTCCAATCTTCCCGATAGCAAGATTAGAAGTATCTGCAACATAAACATTCCCTTTATCATCCATGGTAAGGCCTTTCGAATGATTTAAGCAAGCATCGCTTGGTTTCCCATCTATGTGCTCCAAATAACCCTCAAATGTCCCAGCAACCAACTTAGCCCTGTTATCTGCACAACCAATTACCGCATTTAGTATGTGATGAAACAAATGCACTTCTATCACTCAAGACAAAGAATTGTAAATGGTAGACACGCCACAGAGTATTTCTAAGTGTATACAGTACAGAATTCAGGCCTAATTACTAAAATTACAAGAAATTTCCCGGATGACAGAGGATTTGTAGTTAAAAATAAATTAAGAAATCTCAGTTAAGGAGGATAAAAAATAAATTAAGAAATCTCCCACGGATGGAATGTGGTGACACCCCAAACTCTGGCATTTTCAGTTAATAGTAATACGAGCCGACAGTATATGCTATTTCTATAACTTAACCGCAATACAAGAAATTTGCACAATGATTAGCCTTAGCTTGTTCTCAGATCATAACGAGAATCTTGGTGGGTTGTCTGTCGACTTCCTGTAAAACGGAATTGAATATAGAAGTAGCTGGTCTTTGAGTTCCTTTTTGGCATTCCTCCGATCAACTTTCCTTGAATATAGAAGTTGCTGGTCTTTGGTGGGGCTCTCCTTTTTTTGACTCTCTCATGGTTCTTGAAAACTTAGGGATACTTTTTAAGTAATTTTTCAAACAATAGAATAAGTTTTTGTCCATTTACTAAGGATACTTTAAGTATTTAGCCCTTTTTTTTCCGATTTTGCAAAATAACAGCATCCAGAGACCGTGGAAGATTTTCCTACATTGACACCTTCTTTGAGGGATATAATCTTAAAATGAGATAAGAAATTTGTAATTCAATATTTATATAATTTTCATTGTTTCCTTTGGAGGTTTTCTTCTCCCATTTGTTCCTGGTCTTGCACGTTTACTTTTTGTTTTCTTTTCTTCCACTTTTTTCACAGGCAAAACATCTGAGACCATTTAGTGTTTCCGAAAACCTTCCATTCAGTGACCGAATTTGCAAGTGATATTAAAAACCCAAACACAGATTCCCCTTTGGTTCTTCCGCCAGGAGCTGCTGACACCGTCCCCAAAATGGAAGCCACCATTTCCAAACCAACAGGGAGCTGCTGCCTCTTTTGTTCTTCCATAAAAGGACAAAAAATGAAGGGTAAAAATGATATTATAAAAAATTAATGGCCATATCAAATAACCCTAAACGTTTTCTTTAACAGTGTTATATGGAGACATCTTATAAGGTTAGTATATTAAATGTACATGATATATAAAAGTAATTAACCCAATTAAAAATCAAGTTATGTATAATAACGGTGGACCAGAGAGGTAACAAGCAAATGGCTTGTCATATAAAAAAGATGGTTTTTGATGTAACATTTCTTCCAAGGGTAAAAATATAAAAGAGTATACAATTACACTACTAAATTAGACAACTGAAGGGACTGTCAGAAACTTGCCTGCTCGTATAACCAATTTGGCCTATTTTTGGCAATACAACCAATTTAGTTAATTGCCAAGGAAGCCTGATTCAGTTAATCATCTCCAATTGGCAAATGGCTCTAGAAATACTTCATTTCTGAGAATTTTCTGTACAATAACTAAAATAAATTCAAGAAAGTTGTATTCATATACAAGTCTACATCGGGGCAGTAGCCAACAGACTTCAGTCAAATTAAGTAGTCCCGAAGCAGGAAAACGTAGATCATGTCCCAAGGAAAAATTGTGGCAGTCCCTTCTTCGAGTCCAGAAACCTTGTTCAATGACCACTTTGTATATTAGAGAATGAAATGAATCACTAGTTCTCAACTGGACTGCAAAGATCTGTCATCAAACCCATTGAACAGACCATTGGAGGCCAAGGGGAGCATTTACCAATACTTGATCCCTTCATGTACCGCAAATCATGACAGTAATGTAACTGAAAGGTTGGGTGGAATGGTTTGACAAAAAAGATATTCTCAGTACCAATTGGCTCCTAATCAAGATACTTCGCACCTTCACATTTCAAACGCTTGCTAGAACCGATGGCCGAATGGCAGGCATTGGAGGGAAACCATTCAGTCCCTGTGATAACTTGGCAAATTTTGAATCCTTAAGAGCCTGCTGAAATTCATAATCCACCATATTCTTGAGTCAAATCCACCTCTGCTCCAAAACCGATGATAGATGACCGGCACTGCAGGAATGCATGGCTTACTCAAAGATTGAATGTGAGCTAGACGAAAGATCAACAATTCAGACCTTTGAGATCTCAAACCCACCTCAACCAATCAGAGGTTCAACCAACCTGAAGATGGATACAAAATTTCTTCAGGAAGGGGATTGTGACATTTTTACTGAAACACGTGGACCCAGCTCTTGTTCCAGCTAAAAAAATCCCAAGCTTCAAAAACCTGTGATACTCATTGGAGAGAATCAAACAAAAAGACCACAGAAACAGTTAGCAACTGCAGAAGCAGTAATCATTACTCCATTCGGTGTATTTATTTCTATGGAACTTTTGCATTCTCTCGTGCAAGCCTATCTTCTTCACTACGCACATGGAGCCCATCATATACTTGCAAGGAATCTTCTGTGAACTTCTCCATGGCATCAAAAATCTTTTTCAGACCAAACTGAAGATTACCATTTGTCATGTCACTCTGATGTACAATGTTGCCACTGCCCTGTTCAGAAACCAGAACCATCTTCTTGTCAAGTGCCTGAATCACCTTCTGTATTTTCTGTTCTTCTCTATCCAAGGTCTTAACTCTCCCCTCAACATCCCTGTGTGCTATTGTCCTCTGGCACTGATCTATATTGTGCCTAACACCCATGGCAAAAGTACACATGGCTTCAATCACCTCCCTCTCTGAGATTCTCTCCAAAGCTTGAGACCACTGATAACAAATTCCAAAAACAGGGGGTGCACCGATTCTACCAGGAGAAAATGGAACTATTCCATCAGGGGTCACTTCCGGTTCATAGAAAAGACATTTCAGGAGCCAACCATTCAAGGAATTAACAAATCCCTTCTGTGCACTGATCCACCTGGAAAAATTTGAAATCCAGTTTAGAAGCTCTTGTTGGAACTGCATTGTGGCTGCAAGATGAGCAGAGCTAAGCTTTCTGTTGGATGCAATAGCATCTAAATTTTTAGCCTCTGCTATGGCCTGACATTGATTCCGATGGCACTCAAGCATAACTTTCCACATTCTAAAAAACCTGATAGGCATATAAATGAATAATATATTAGGCACACCCATATCAGTGAAAAGTTCTAGGATAATGGTAATCAAAGAAAGAAAACTAATATAATGTTAATTTTCAATATCAGGGGGATCTGGAAACTCCTCACTACCACAACCATAACGAAAGGGAATGAAAGAAAGGTTTGATTATAGAGTGTCAAAAGCATCAATTAGAAAAGAAATTAACACTTCATTATATATAAAAAAAAAACCCCAAAGAATGTGAAGAAATATATCATCTATTGTTTATCTGCACTTGTGTGAAATAACACGCAGTACAGGCAAGTCAAGGCTTCTACGAGGAAGGCAGGGGCCAAAAGAAACTAGACCAAGTACCTAGAAAAAATATTGACTCATAATAAACTAAGGACAAGGCTCTTGATTGAGTGGAATGGTCTTAGTGCCCTATCTTCTAGACTTAGGTGGCACTCTTGCACTCAGATTGTTTACAATCCGAGTGGGAGAGTACCTTTAATTTGCAACTTGAAAATTAGAGAATGTGGATTTGTAATCCCCAATCCATGATCTGGTTCCCTGTACAACTGGCCTGCAATCTGGGTCACCATAAAAACTGATACAAATTACATTCATCTATCTCTCTACCAGAAACCTGCCATTCCATTTACTGCAATCAAAAGGAAAACACAAAAAGGCTAAGAATGATGTATACTGGGTTGACAGACATTATAGCCAGAGAAGAGGTTCTGTCCAACTTTTTCACCATTTCTTTCAAGTATGTAAATACATACATCATCATGTAACATAATAAACCCACTTAAACAACTCTTCTTTTTCCCTCAACACTCAAAGATGCACTTTGACCATTTAGTGCTTGATAGCCAGAGAAACACTAAGGTGCATGACTTGCAATGCTTAGAACAGCATAAAGATGAAACATATAACAGTTTGTGCTATATTCTTGAACTTGTGATGCCATATACTTTATATAAATTTAGCATGTATAATACAATATATTCCAAAGATACTCAAGTCCAAGATACTCTATATTTGACATTCTCACAACTTCACTTCTGCTTTTGTAACCAACCTCAGCTGGTTGAAACAAGCATGGCATGTGGGTTTCAGTCTAAGAGCAGCCACTTTGTGCAGAAAATGACAGAATTAAGGTCCCATATTCACTCTACCCCTCATCCTAAAAACACTGGATAGCAAAGATAAAATTAGGTAATGGCCAGTGTAGCATGGACATGGACATTGAAGCCAGAATGTCCAAGAGTCTGACTTGGCAAGATGAGAAAACATGGGCTAGCAGACACGTCTATGGAAAAGTATATACTACTCAAATAATTCATGTTTCTTTTTTTTGAATTTTAACATCATATACCTATAAAAAATGGGTTCATCTTGTCATTAGCTGTTCATTTGTGTCAAATAAACTAGGATATAAAAGGGAAATGTAATGTAGAAGTGCCTGAAGAATTTGTGGTGTGTCGGACTTGGATGTGTGTCCGGCACAATACATTGTCCACTTAGGAGAGCCCATGCAACACTAGTTAAGGCCCTTCTAACTTAATCCTTTTGCAACTATCTTGTCAAAAACAGAGAATCAGAGATATGATCATAGTTTACAAGGTGCCAAGGCGAAGCTATGAAATAGGGGGGCACCTTATCACCTAGACGGGCGCCTAGGCATCCTAGGTGATGGATTTTTTTACATAAAACCATGGATCCTAGGGTAATTCCCTAGGTTCCAATAGGGGGCAGCAACCATCTTTCATTGGTAATCATCTATAAACTTGATAAAGCACATCAGAATGAACAAAGTACATCTTTCATTGATAATTTGTCAAACTCAAGACCTGTTAGTTTTGGTTGATATTTGGAAAGCACATTAGAACTTACAAGATCATGTAAAAGACATTATCTCCACTTACACCAAAATGAATAAAGTGAAAAAAGAAAAGAAAAGAAAATTCCTTCAAGTCAACAAGATCTCTATCACAGTTCTCTATCAAAATAAGTTCCAGAATGCTGCATATCCGCATTGCACATTCAATATACCAAAGTGAAGAGATTGCTAGCTAAAAGTAAATTATTAAAGATACAAGATTCAATTCTCGGGAAAGCATAGTCAGAATCTAGAGATGCAAGAATATAATTCTTACATAGTTGTGTATTGTACTTTTGTTCCACTTGCAATACAATTTGACTTCAAGAAATTGGAGATATGGTGATTTAAACAATAAAAATGAGAATGACAGAAACAAGAACCAAACATAATTCATTAGGAAATATCACAGAAAACAGAAACAGATGCCTTTTGGTTTGAAAACTCACAAAGTCATTCCTAATAACTATATTCGAGGAGAATACATAATTAAGATAGTAGGATGTATTAGAAATGTCACAACCAATCAGGATAATCAAATACAATGCATAACATCCAGTTGTACGCCGGCATATAAAGGGCTGGAAAAGAAAAAAGAGGGGAGAGGAATCAGGCTAATGTATGATCTGTCACCAGAAGAATCACATACCCCTGAATCAATTCATTGATCTGTGGCCATAACTCTTCATCCCTTGATTTATTTATCTTCTCTGATATCTTGTCGACAAACTGAATTGCAATTTTAATTTTTGTGGACAAATTCTTGACTATAGTTCTAGTAGAGTCAACTTTATGAGACTCAGCACCCTTTTCATCCAAACGCTTCAGCCGCCGGCATTTCCTGTCATGAACTAGTCGCAACTTTTCCTCCTCCTACCAAAAAAAAAAGAGCTTTTCAAGAACACTAAACACCTATGTACAGAACAAGAGTAGTAGGCTAGTGTAAAAAGTACATACTTCAAAAATACTGCTTTGTCACAAACTTAAAGAAATGAAGTATCATTGTCAAAGAAATTGCCTTTCAAGAAATCTAAACAATACACATTCTTGTATAAAGGAACAGCAATAGGCAAGTAATGAAACTACAGAACTTGATTCAAAAATAGTGTCCTATTCAAAACTAAATGCAAGACAGGATGACCTTGAAAGATATCACGAGATATGCAGCTCAAGGTCAATGTCTAACTACATGAGAAAATCTGCATACAATATTAAGAGATGATTTTCCTGTCATAATTAACAAATGCTTTATTAATTGCAAACAAGAGTAATGTACACAGTTAACATATATTTTGTAGAGAGCATTGCTGCTACTATCTCTCTCCATATACTTCACTTTACAACTGAGCCCAAAACATCTGATCTCTATTAACCCCTTGTTTAGCTAATGCATCAGCCATGCCATTAGCTGGTCTTGGTACCCATTGAATTTTCACTAGAATGTTTCTAGTTATCCACTTGAACCTCTTGAATTTGTTTCTATAGGACAACAGAACACTCTTCCTATTCAGCAGATATCCAGCCACAACCTTGGAATCAATTTCTATATATATTATCAAATCACCTTCTATAATTAATTTACCCAAATTCATTTCATTTGCCCTCTGCACACCCTAATCACGGCCATAAGCTCTGCTCTTAAAAAGTTTCCCTCTCCAATTGGGCCTGAGAACAATGCAACTAAATGACCCTCTTTGCCCCTAAAGTCTAAACCCCCACCACACACCACCCCCGATGGCCCCAGGTTCCCAAAACTGCTACCACCATTAAATTTGAGCTTTAAAAAACCCCTTTACTATGATGTCCAAATCCTCTGAATCAAACATTTCTTGGATGAAGAACTACCCACTTAGCCACTTGACCACTTCCTCCCATTTCTTATGATGTCCATAATTGAGAATGGTGTGAAGACATTGAAAGATTTAACCCAATGCACCACCCTAACTATTTCTATTGTGATAACACTTAACACAAAAGCAAGGACAATTCTCATGCAACATCTTATATCACTCTTTTGGACAGTCAGAATTGACAGTCACTGGTCAATAAAGATTCAGGGCCTGGATTGCACCGGCCAGACATCCATTGACTGGACTCCATGAAATAATTTGAGGACCATCACCAACCCATGCATATGATCCTCATCCTTGGGGCATTTCCTTTGATCTGCACTATCTAAGACCATCATTTTTCAGATCTTTTGTAACTCCTTGAACCAGGGTCCTTTATAGCAACAAAATGGGCTCCACATATTCCATAATGTAATGTATGAGTTCAAACATTAAGCTCCCATGATGAAATAAATGTCATAGAAAGTGTTTAGAAGTACATCTAAAGGTTGAATGTGTTATCGCTCTTGGGAAGACCTTCAGTTTGCTAGATTGGGATGACCTTAATAGTTGTTTAGTAGTATTTCAAAATTGGGATCTATTTTCTTTCCCAAAGAAGATGCCACCAAAGCCTCCCAGTTGCTCTAGCTCCTGGATAGACAACATTATCACATTTATTGAGTCTCCAAGGCAATATTACATGTGATGTTCATCATTTGCCATCTTCAAAAGCTATAGTTACATGACAGTGAGGGAGATGAAGATCAACAAAGGAGATTCACAGGAAATTCATTGATAGGTATAAAAGAGAAAAACAAAGAATGCATGAAAAGCACAAACTTCCTGCATAACAAGTTAATGATTGACAAAAATGGCTGTTGTGGCACCATAATCCCCCAGTGACATGTACTAACCATCTCTTTTTCAACAAGCTATGATATAGTGAAAAACAGAAGTTCATTAGTCCTTATCATTTAGAAAAGGTAACATGTATGTACAGTGTTATCAATGTAGTGAAGTGATGACTATCATTCTTGCCCCTCTGATTAATGAAATGCCTAATTGGTGCCTAAGCGCTGACTAATTGACAAAAAATATATGCTCTAAATTTTAGAGATTGATGCAATCTCATAAATAAGTTAATGTAGACTACAACTATTTGAAACTTGATAGAGAAACAACATTGGACATAGTTCATAGTCATTATTTTCACCCAAGCCTTATCCCAACTACATGGGGCCGGCTACAACTAATTAATGCCATATCCATTGTTTAATTATTAATGCTTAAATCGTTTCTTACTACTTCAACTAGGGCTGCAATCAAACTGAGATCTAATCGAATAGTTCAGGTTTGAGTTCGATTAGTCTCAATTTGGGTTTGATTCTAATCGGGTTCGAATCTCAAGGTAAGCTCGATTAGTTATTCGAACTCAAGTTCGGCCTAAAATCTTGCAGGCTTGGCTCGATTAACATATGCATACATATATTATAGAATATAAATATAAATATATATATATATATATATATAATGAAAATATATTTTTATATTCTATATATAATATAATAATATACTATATATTATAGAAACTATTATATGTAATATAAAAATATATTCATTTTCAAACTTTCCATCCGAACTCGCGTCTAATAGTATTTTAGTCAAACTGAGCCGAGACATTTAGTATTATGGCTCGGCTCAGCTTGGCTCAATTGCATCCCTCACTTCAACCCATGTCCTTTTTGGTCTACCCATATCCCCTCTAGCTCCTTCAACTTGTAACATATCTATCTTCTTATGGGTGCTGCCAAAGGTCTTCTATGCACATGACCAAACCATCTTTGTCTACTTCATGTCATTTTATCACATATTACAGCTACTCCTAGGTTCTTTCAAACGATTTCATTTCTGACCCTATCCTTTCTAGCTTTTCCACCCATCCATCTCAGCATTTGCATTTCTTCCATACTCTTTTTTTTTGGATATGTTGTTTCTTGACTGCCCAGCATTCTGCACCATACAGCATAGTCAGCCTTTCAACGTTTTATAGAATTTTCCTTTTAACCTAAGTGGTTTTCCTATCACATAAGATTTTGGATGCACCCCAACATTTTGCCCAACCTGCCCTAATTCCAGTTCATAGTCATTATTTTGCAAACATAAAAACGTTAGACTGAATATCGAAATTATAGCCTTTATTTTCCAAAGAAAGTGTGCAACCGTGACCATACAGTGTGCCTTTTGTTTGAGGCAACGCTGTAACATGAAAACATTTATTGGGAAAGAAGTTAAGAGCACTCCTCCTCTGCCTTATTTTATTTTATCTTTTTTTTTTGTATTTTATATACCATCAGCCAATCACTTTCCATTATAAATGTTTAAAGTAACAACACGAATGTAATAAAATAAAAACATATTCTATATTTTTTAATAATTTATAGGATATTGCATTGCTGTGGAGATATAGAAATCAAAGCTAAATAACTTTGTTGTTCACTAGTCATTAATCAAATAGGCGACAGAGTTGATGCTTAGTTGTTCCTGGAGACTACATCATGAGTATCAACCAACTAGTTAGGTAGTAGTAGGTCTAGCTCTCAACTGGCTAGTAGTTGATGCTTTGATAATACTGGTATTGTATTAAGAGTGGGCAAAAGTGTAGATACATTTTTCCCAACACAGTGAAAAGTCATTATGTTTCAATCTTCAATTTGTTCCATAATATAACAAAATCAATGTTTCAAGCCAGAAAGATCCAGTACTAGAGCTACACAAAACATTTCCTTGCACATTTATAGAACAGGACTACCATGAAGGCATTAACAGCTCCATTTCATATCCTTGAAGCCCAACTTGAGAAGAAGATCAAGATAAAGAGCTCCTAAGAGTACAACATACCTTCCAAAAATAGACTCTTCAAAAGCTTCCTTGAGATACAATTAGATAAAATAAGAATTTCCTAAAATGCTATGGGCACATCACAACATTTATTAGATTAGGTTCGAATCTCTCTCCAGTTCAGCAATATGAAAGGGCAAAGGCAGTGATTAGGGTTTAGAAAATTTATGAATCATATGTTGTGAACTAACTTCAAATTTCACAGCAATCAAGAGAAATCGGATAAGCTACAACAACAACAGAAGAAAGAGGTAAATGCAAAGCAATTGGCAATTCACTGCTTAGTGAACCCCTTCCCCCCCCCCTCCCCCCCAAAGAAAAAAGGAAAAAAAAAAGAAGAATTATCAAAACATAACTAACCATACCTTAACTTTTTTTTTTGATCAATTCTAACCATACCTTAACTTCATCATACAGTTTCTTCTCCCACATGTATAGCTTCTTCAAGGTAGAAGAAAGATTTCCCGAACTCATTCCCAGATCTTCTTCGAACTCCAAGTGAACAGGACCAGCCTTCTCAGAGGAAGAGGACTCACCACTTTTGGAAGTAGAAGGTTGTGAGGATACTACTGTCAAAGATGGAGTTATAACATGCAACATTCTGGAGGACACTGTTGCACGGGGGAACTTGTAAGTCCAAAATTTAAAACAACCTTAACAACATAATTCAATTATTATCTACTTGTATCATTATTGTCTATCAAGCAAAGAGCTTGTGTATGGTCCATATCCACCAAAAGTTAAGAACTAGTCCCAAAGCTGTGGTAGATCAAAGAGAGTCTTAAAAAAGGTCGGATTTTCAAGCATTGTTAAAGAAGAAATGGGAATCCAAAATCAAACCGGGCTTAAACAATATCTGATCTATTGTCATCCTCCCAAGTCTTAAGTGGTAAATATGAAAGTTATGATCAGAAGATAACACAACACAAAAAGAAGAGAAGTTGGCGAGACGTAAATACCTTGATAAACAGCATTTTTCCTGTGATACGGAATCTTTCCAGCCTCGAGCATCTTGGAAACGTCATTGCCCGACTCGGAAGCTCTCTCTAATTCAACTTTAATTAATGTCATAACATCAGGTGCAGCTTGCGAGCCAGGCCGGACCTTAAATGCAGCCACATTGTTCATCCGATCCTCGACACGTTCCTCGTTAGCAACTACATTCTTGTCCACCATACGAACCTCGTATTCCACCCCCTCCTTCTCCTCCGACGCACTGGGCCTAGTCTGGGAGAGAGATGCCTCCTCATCTTTACCCTTATCATCCTCATCATTAGTGACTTTCTTCGAATAATTCGCAGAGTCACTGCCATCCACAAATTTCTGATCTCCAAGAACTTCTTTTATAATTTCGTACTCCTCGTCTTCCAAATCAGGAATCCCTTCCTCCTCCCTCACTTCTCTGGAGTCACGGCTAGGGGTATAAGGATGGAAGTAATCAATAGTTTCGAAAGGATTCAAGAAATCCCAGGTCGAGTTCGTCGGTGGCGGGGGAGGAGGCGGAGGAGCTTGGGAAGAAGAGGGGGAGGACGGAGCCGCAGCGGGCGGTGGCGGCGGAGAGGAGGAACCGAACAAACCGTTGGTCCCAGCGCCATAGTTGTTGGGGGGATAAGGATAGTATGAATAAGGAGTAGTGTTAGGGTAAGGATAAGGGTAGTAAAAAGAGGATTCGCCCATATGTACGGTCTCGGGGCTCATCGGCCGTTGCTCGTAAGAGATGGAGGGTGTGGCTCGATTCTTCATGAAATTCATGGTGGTATATCCGCCACCAGAAAGAGGAGGGAGCATCTCATGATCAAGTGGATGGTTGTTATAATCGTGCAAAGGAGAAGAACCGCCGGAGTGATGAAGAGATCCGGAGTCGGTGTCGTCGTCGTCGGAATCCGAGTGGAAATGAATATGGGATCCTGAATTGGAGTGGGAATGATTAATTACGGCAGCGGCAGTGGGAGGGGGAGGAGTAAAAGGCTCGGGGGCAGGGACGACGGGGTCACCCTTCCGTTGGGTGGGGAGAGGAAGCACTGGGGAAGGGGGAGCCGCGGCAGATGTGTCGAGATCTTGATGGAAGAGACCGTCTAAGGAGAGGGAAATTGCTCTGAGGGAGTGGATGTAGGCGACGTGGGCATCGGCGAGGGCGTAACGTTGCCGGATTGCTTCGTCGAGGAACTGGCAGCGCTCGCGACAGAGAGCGACTGCCGGGAGGTCGTCGAGCTTCGAGCTGGTGCAGCCCATATCCTGACCGTGTGATTGGAGCAGAATAAATATAAGGAAAATTAAAAGAAGAAGAAGAAGAAGAAGAAGAGATAGAGAGGGAGGGGGGACAGGGGGGAGGGAATAAAATTCTGGGTAAGACTGAGAAGGACAGAGAGAGATTCTACATAAGTATCAGTCCCTCTCCAATCCCCCTGAAAAAATTAGAAAGACAAGAGCATTTGAGAATTGAGATGTCATAGGCGAGGGAGAACTCTAGAAATTTTAGGGTTTGGAGAGATAAGGGGAAGAGTAAGGAGGAGTGGGAAGTGGGAAAGAAAGAGGAGAGAGAGAGAGGGGAGGGGGAGGAATCTTGCCAGCGCGGAGTCTGTCGTCGGGTTGCAGCAGAGAGAGAGAGAAATATAGGAAGTACTTACTGTAGATGGTTGTTGATTTTAAGATTTTTATTTGCTTTTAAGACTGCTTTTTAAGTTTAACTCTTTTTTGCGGGTTTGTTGCGATCCTCATTCCTCCACTCCACTCCACTCCTCCATCCATTAGATACTAGACTGGTGTAGTCCGTCTGTCTGTCTGTACTCTGTAGCCTCTAGCCTGTAGGGAGGAGATGCACTAACTTATTAGTTATTCTTATTACACACACTATTATCCTTATCATATGTAACCTTTTTTTGTAACAAGAATTAAGGGAATATTCAAATTTCAGAGAGAGAGAGAGAGAGAGAGAAAGGGGTTTTCGTTTGATGAGATCAAGATGGTATTATTATATTGTAGACTGACGACGCCTGTTGCGGCAATGACGCTTTATGGAGTTTGCTTGGAAATGGAAATAAGTTTTATTTATTTCAGATATAGCCCTTCTCAGTTCTCAATGATGAATTGGTCATGCTCATGCAGGAATCGGGATGAATACGACGATGACCCAAACGAAGCGCCTATCGGCTATCGCGTTGCTTGCAATTGCATACTTGAATGCCATCGTCATTCATCATCGTCGTCGTCGCGGCAGCACAAATTTTGGTTATCCTTTTTATATTTTAGTAAATATAAAATGATAATACTTGTAAATATAAAATGATGAGAGAGAGAATTAAGTTATGAGTATATATACATATATATATGACACGTTAATATTATCATCATCAGCACCTTACATTCTCATCATATTTGGCCCATGCAACCAATCAGACGAGTAGAGTAGTACAAATTAAGTCAAAAGCTACAATAAGCAAGCGCAAACGGATACAAAGACTCTGCAGTCCTCTAATTAATTCACGCATGTGAGCCGCCTTTTTACCCAGAGGAAGACGGTTTGGTAGACTATCAAGAAAACGAAAATGAGTATTTGAGAGGTGGTTTTTTGGCATCAGGCACCTATCCTGAACTGTACAATAAACTTAGTATTTGAGAGGTGGACTGAACGGTAAAATACTCAACCAAACAAAATTTAAATAAAATAGAATAAATTCCTTAAACTAACCTTGACTAACTATACCGTTAGTGTTTTAACTATTATCTCGTCTATCTTTATTATTTTTAATAATTGTCTAAAACCTCCCTTATTATTAATATTATTCTATCATACACCGTTTACATCTATATTTTTCAGAAATCCTTTTATAGTGGACAATGCCCTTTATTATTTGCCCTATCTAAAGCCCGTACCCAGTGAAAGGGAATAGTTGACGATGACGACGGAGGCACTAATACATATGGCATCGTTGCTGACAAAGTTGAATTTTTTGGGAAATTTTGATCAAGTATGGAGATTTGAAACGACCAAAGCACTGCAAAGGAACGCAACCAAGGTATGTACATTTGATCTTGGTGTGAGAGAGAGCTCAAAGAATGTAAGTTTCAGCATCATAGAGGTGGATGTGGGGGTGATCTTCTATAACTATAGGAACGAAACCAAGGTTGTTGGAGATAAGAGGTTGGAAACATCGATATTAACTCCTGCAAAGGCGGGTCATCGTCTTCTTTCTTAACCTCTCTTACTAGTGCCGCCTCTACTACAACAACCCAAGGTTTTAAAAACTGATTTAAAAACGGAACCCTTTTAGCTACCGATTTTTGGGTCAGTGGTTCGACTGTCTGAGTCAAATGGTTCAGATGGTTCATATTAGGAAAGGCCAAATAGTATATATGTCATGAGAAACAGAGAAAGGAGGACTGGAGGAGTGGAGAAGAGTATTTTGTCGACTGAGAAAGAAGAGAAGAAGGAAAGAAAGAAAGGAGAAAGGAAAAAAAAAAAGGAAAAGAAAAGAAAGAAAGAGGAAAGGAGAGAAGAAGAAGGAAGAGGAGGAGAATGATTCGACGCTCACCGGCGACGGCGACGACGACGACAGTAACACAACGCAGATGACAGATCTCATACGAGTTCTCAGATCTCAAATCTGAGATTGATTTTTCATTTTTTTCTCAGATCTAGATATGAGATCTTCTTCTGAGGTCTAGATTTGAGATCTACAACTTCTTCTTCCTAGATATCAGATCTGAGTTCGTGTCTTAGATCTGCAATTTCTCAAACTGCGAACCGTTGTCCGGGTCAAACAAATTGACGGTTCGATCGTCTGGGTCAGTGGTTTTTTGACCAAGTCAACGGTTTTTGATCCAAGAGCGGGTCAGGAGTGAAACGGAACCAGTTGCTTGAATGGTTTTCGGGCCGAACGGTCCAACCGTCTGGGTCAATAGCAGTTCAAAAACATTGCAACAACCAATTGATAGAAAAAGGAGAGATGAGAAAGGCGGTCTTTGATGACAAAAAGTCTCACTTAAATTGGGAGTATTTAGTGGGTTTTACTTTCACACCAATCCTCATCCATGGTTTTGCTTCAATCCTCTTTAGCTTCACCTATTTGTCCCCTTCTTTTCTCTTCTCATTCTTTCTTTCTTCCAAAAATTCCATTTTCTACTCCAAACACTACTATTCCTCAAAAAGTCTATGTCTATCTTAGCCTTTTCTGCTCCCAACTCTCTTTTGAAGACCAACGAGGGACAATGTCTATCACAAGAACCATAATGTATGCAAATGGGTTCATACAAATATGCGCTCTGTTGCTGATCCGAACAGAAATCATTGCAGCAATGATAAATCAATTTAGATTTGAAATTGTAGCGACAATAAATCAACAAGAAGAGATCCTGCTCTGAGACGGATAACAAAGATAGATGCAAGAGATAGAAAACGGAGACAAAGAAAGAGGTGGAGGTGGAGGTGGATATGGAGACGAAACACTTCATATCTTCCTTAAATTTGTGTTTTATTTTAAAAATTTAAAGAATAGTGGAGGGTAAATTTGACATTTTTTTCCATTAGCACTTAACAACGATGTCAATTGTTAGAAACAGTAGGGGGTGGTGCAAGACAATAGTTAAACAATAAGGGTATAATTTGTCAATTAGCTAAATAATTTGGGTAGTTTAAGAAATTTACCCAATAAAATATAGTGCAAATTACATATAGGTACCCTATACATTGGGGGTAGTGACAGATAGAAATCCTAAACTTTCAAGGGGTGTTCTTTTTTTCGATTTTGAGAGGGGAGAAGTTGGTTGACCAAGAAACTCATGTTCTTTTTTCAAATTTATGTGGGGACCAAGGAAAGTTTATTTTCCTAGGTATCACTTACCCATCTCTTAGGTAGGTAAATAACTTTCCCACTTGCGGGAAAAATTGCCAACACTTGAATGAGACAAAAATGCCCCTTTTAATAATGAATTTTTATGGCTAAAATGGTCATTGCCTTATTTACATGGGAAACAAAAAAACATCGGTAAATGCACTTACCCAAATAAGTCTTTCCCAAAAAGTGAACGGGGCCTCAGTTGCAACACTTGAGTACCCTGAATTCTTAAAAATAGACACTTGGGTCCATCTGCTAGTATTCCATCAGTTAAGTGCTATATAATGTCAAAAAATACCTTTTTCATGTATTTTTGAGATAATGCTATAGAGTAAAACTAATACTAGAGAAGGTCGTCATTGGAAATTTTGAATCTTTTATTTGCTGTCCATATGAGAATGTCATAATGGGGAGACATCTAATCACCTAAGAATGATCTTAGAAATATATAAGAAGGGTGTTTTTGACATTACGTAATGTTTAACGGAGGGAGGAAATACTAACGGATGGACCTAAGTGTCTATTTTTTAAAGTTAAGAGTACTCAAGTATTGCAATTGAAAATTCAAGTACCTATTTGTCACTACCTCCAAAGTACAGGGTACCTATCTATACTTTACTCAAGCATTGCAATTGAGAGAGACGGGGACATTACCTTCGGACGGTGTGACTGTCGGAAGGATCATCGTTGTCGGAGAAATCCTAGGTTCCGAGCTCAATGAAGGAGAGTGAACAGGGGCACGAGTCGAAAGCAGGAATGGGGGGATTTGAGTGAATTTTGGAGCCGCACGCATGGAGGAGCTCGGGGCGGGAGGACATTAGTTGGCGTTTGATTGTGTGGGGTGCCTAGCTCAGGCTGTGGGACGCTGATGCGAATTTCATTGGAAAATGAATGTTTCTACTACACGGTTTGGATGTGCTATCGGGTGCAATTTATGAGGCAGAGATGTGGTTTCTCTCTATTCGACAATGTGATGTCGAGTAGGGGGAGGGAGGTAAAGTGGTAAACGCAAAGGGCATCTTGGTCAAGTTAGATCATGGGTAGTTTAATGAAATTAAGCCCTATAGTCTGGTCTGATGGTAGTTGCTATGCTTCTTCGTCTTTCCAAATTCCAAACGAAGCCTAAAATAAAGGAAAAGTAAAAACATGGGGCTCCGTTCCTTCAAAGCAATGGAATATTTAGATGTCACAATCTTCCATTTGACTGTCTCTTCGTTATGCGTCCAATCCCAAGACAATAAAGTAACAACTAACCACCAGATCAAAGCCACCCGTTGCGTAATACATTACATTTATTTGAGGAATGAGAAGCGCCAAATATTGATTGGCTAGCTCTGACTCCCTGAGTCGTTTTTAATGGCTACGTTGGACGCAGCATGTTTAAAGAAACAGTAATGACAAAAAGTAAAAAATAGAATAGAAGTTGTGCTGTGAACAATACTGTTGTCCTTTTTTGTTCAACTTCAACACGGACCCTTGATTTAGAACTTTCAAATTCAAACCCCACGAGTGGTTTAGGGAAGTTCTACCTACAGTGAGTACTGAGTAGTCCATGTGCCTAATACTTTCCCTCCCAAAAATAGATAAATCCCTTAAACCTTTTTCTGAACTATGACCTGCCCTTGAACCTCCTCTCACATTATTGAGGACAAATGGACTCGTGTATCCCTTCCGTTAGACATAAAATATCTGTTGTGCCCATATTAATGAAAGGGGTCTATAAAGAAAGTGTCATGGAAGGTTTAAGGAGAGAAGTTCAAAAGAAGAGGGGAGGTTAAGGCCAATAAAGCTTATGTGATTTACTC